TAATATTACCACTGAGTGGCAGAGCTGCATTCAAACATAGACTATTCATTTATTCACTTAACATTTTCAGAAAACCTAATAATTTTTATCCAACCGAGACCCTGGAGCATGCCTCATCTATCTGTTGATCATTACCATCCTTATCTTTTTTCTATTTATCTTTTCTTTCTTATTTGATTGTCTCTCTGTCTTTACCTCTCCTTCTGCAACCTCCCTCAAAGAAGAAGGAGAAGGAGGAAGGGAAGAAGAAGAAGAGAAAGAGGAAGAGGAGGAGGAAGAAGAAGGAGAAAGAAGAAAGAACAAGAAGAAGAAGCACAACAACAACAACAACAAAGAAGGAGGAGGAGAAGAAAGAGGAAGAAAAAAGAGGAGGAGAAGGAGAAGAGTGGAAAGAAGAATGGAAAGAAGCAGAAGCAGCAGCTAAAATCAGTCTCTCTTGTCTTTGGGACTGGAAACTTACGACTTTCCCCGAAGACCACCATGGAAGATCTGAAAGACAAACCTGACCCCTTCCTCTGTCCCTCAGGGCTTATATAAGCTTCATCTATAGTGTCACAGAGTCTTTTAAGTGTCAATGATTACATACTTCTATTATTTTTTAAAATGTCGCTATTAATATATAACACATAAAATTCAATTAAGTATATAATTTTGTGTTTTTTAGTATATGTACAAAGTTGTGCAACCATCATCAATATCTAATTTTAGAACATTTTCATCACTCTAAAAAAAGCTCCATAGAATACAATTTAAAAACTGGTGGCAGTTTTATTTTAAAATATCACTATTTGTAATAGATTAAACATATCCTTTTATACTATTTAGATATTAAATGACAATTTTAGTGCATTTTAATTTATTGATTGAATTTTAGAGAGAGAAAGGAGGAGAGAGAGAGAGAAACAACACATGGGTTTGTTTTCCCACTTATTTATGCAGTCAGTGGTTGATTTTTGTATGTGCCTTGACAACCGGGGATCAAACTTGCAACCTGGGTGTATTGGGAAGATGCTCTAAACAACTGAGCTACCTGGCCAGAGCTAAATGAGAATTTTTAAATGTCAACATCCTATACTATTTCAAAATTATTTTACGAAGTACCCAGGCAAAAATTTTGAACACATGAGTTTGAATTAATGTGAGAGAAGATAGGTATAGCAGTCTCCCTTTTTCTGTGGTTTGTTTTCTATGACTTCAGGTACCTCTGGTTAACCACAGCCTGAAATTGTTAAATGGAAAAATCCCCAAATAAGCAACTTATAAGTTTAAAATTGAACACCACCTTGAAGAGTGTGACAAAATATTGTACCATACCATGGGGGACCTGAATTATCCCTTTGTCCAGCATGTCCACACTATCTACACTACCTGCCCATTGGTGTCTCAGTAATTATCTCAGTTATCAGGTTGCCTGCTGCACTATCACAGTGCTTGTGTTCAAGTAACCCTTATTTTACTTCACAATGGCTCCAAAGCTCAAGCATAGCTTATACTTTATTACAGGTATATATGTATATATAGAGGAGAATATACTATAGATAGGGGTTGGTACTATCCATGGTTTCAGGCATCCACAGGGGGGCCCTGGAACATATCCCCAATAAATAAAGGAGGGGACTACTGTATGTACAAGGGAAAGGCTATAGTACTTTGAAGGCTTTGATGGAAGAAATCCTTGGTACAAAGTTTGATGTATGGCTAATATCAAATACAAAGGGATCTCGCCAGAGAATTGATGTTGTTCGCTCCTAGTGCTGGCTTGTAGGCATGTAGCATAAGCCCCATGCTCATAAGGGTCCTGTGTTTCCTTCAATGTTCTGCTTCCATGCTGTTGGAATTCTTAATCATTAATTTTGAACTTACATTTTGTGAAATGAAGTCTAATAAGAAAATGGAGCATAAAAATGCCCACTGCCAATTACTCCCATGCTCTTTGCATATAACATCAGTAATGCCCTGTATACACAGAATACCATGAATCCACAATGTACCAATATTCAGTGAGGTACACAGTATTAAGGAGGAAAGAAGATAAAGGGGAGAAAAGATAAAAGAAGAGCAGGGAAGAGAAACAAAAATTACTGGGTTTCATTTCCACATTTCTTGAAAATTCTCTAGAGAAAATTTCCGTTCCTCATTTCTTTCTCCCTGTTTTAACCTCTCCTTATTCTCTCCCTACAAATGAGCACAATGGCTCAAATAAGTAGAGCAGGGCCCCTGGGTTTTCACACCTGAATGTCACAAAGAGTCAATTAATAACCTCACTTTCTAAGCCCATGACCAGAGGAGACTGGAACCCAGGGCTAAACTGAAGACACTAACTAACTGGTCTCACAAAACTGGGGACAGATTACATATTTCAATCCACACTCCATTTCAATCCAGACATATCAACACTCAAACACCTATCTTCCAAATCACACCTGTACAACCAGTACAAAAACACAGCTCTAAACAAGCCATTGTATTCCGGTATACTGTACCTGTACAAGCTCCTAGTACATCACATACCTTCCCACATAGCCTCACACTGACAAGGGTCACAGAGCTGCAACCGCAGCTTGTAAACACACACCACTCGCTGGAAATCAGATTCCTCAAAAATCTGGGTTGAAATAAAGAACTCAGAGTTCATTTACTGAAGTCCAGGTCTCACTCAGAGGGAGAAGTGACAAACTTAACCATCATAGTGACTCAGAGACATGACTGAATGAGACAAATTTGGGAGGATGCCTTATTCCACCCACGGTATTGCTTCAGTTCAGTCTCTTCCCCACTCGTTTCCCTGGAAAACAACCTTGCTTGTTCTCTAAACTTGCTCTAATCTTTCTGGTTCTCACATGCACAGACGCTCACAAAGTAGCAGCTTCCTTATAATAACGATTTAAAATCTTCTGTTGCAGTTAAGGATAGGCTAGAGATAAAGGAGTAGAGCAGATGATAGTGACTTCAACCCTCTCTCCACCACACAGGCTTCTTCCTTCTAGTGGCTTGGGGCCATTAGTGAAAGTCTCTAGGCAAATCAGAGGGGCTCTCCACTTTCATCAGTCTCTTTGGGATCCAGAGAAGTAACGTGATTGCAGCATTAGATACTGTTATTAGACTTTTTTTGCTTAAAAAAAAAAAAAGGTAGGAATTAAGTTTTTGGCCATATAAATGGACAGTAAGTGCAATGAAAACACCAAATATTAAATCAGGAGAACTGGGGCCTAATTTTAGTTCTGACAGTAACACAAGCTTTGTGATCTGGATTTTATCAGTTCACTTCTCTGAACATGGACTTCTCTTGACAAGACAGAGGTGAGTATGATTATTATACTCTGTGTTACTCCCATATGCAGCTATGAGACAAAGAGCTTGTAAAAATGGGGAGGACATTGTTTTTAGTGTCCAAACATTTTAATTCCATATACTTTACTCTTGCTCAACCACAAAAATTATGTGAGATAAATTAGCCAGGTGTTGTCATTCCCAATTCAGAAATGAGAAAATTGAGTCTCAAAAAGTTCATGAGACTTACCAATACTAAATAGTGAATGGTAGAAAAGCAAGACTAGAATTCCAGAATTGTTGGTTTTTATTGTTTTCATTTCTCAATTACAGTTTACATTCAATATTGTTCTCTATTAGTTTCAGATGTACAGCATACTGGTTAGACAACCATGAATTTTACAGACTGATCTTCCTGATATTTCAAGTACCCTCCTGGCCCCATACATAGTTATTATAATATTATTGACTATATTCCCTGTGTTGTACTTTATATCTCTGTGACTATACTGTAGTTACCAATTTGTTACTTTTTATAAATCGAGACTTCTCAGACAAGGGAAAGAATTGTCCCAGGTTATATAATACTCTTGTGATAAAATCAGGACTAAAATTCAGGATTCCAGGCATCCTACAAAGAATTCTTTCAGGTATATAATGTTACTGAAGGTGGGGAGAGGGATGTACATAATACTAGCTCTCTACAGCAAAAAATAATTCACTCTTTCAGGATATCTACTGTTGGTGAACTCTAGAACACTCCACTCAACCCTTCAGTCTGTTTCTATTATCAATTGACATTCTGATCAAACCACTAATCCAACCATTCCACTGTTGGGCACACAGTACATTGAACTGGCTTTACGATAGTTAGCAGTGTTGTTTTCCCACCTAGCATGTCTGATACATGTCTTACATTTTTATGTGTTAACCCTCATGCATGCTCAAAACACTGTAGTTATTTAATAATGCATTTGAATATATTTAGGTCACCTAGACTCTTGCTAGAGACTTTAGGTGAGATATAAAAATAAGCTATTTGGTGTATAGCTGGGCAGATATGTTACAAACACAGATTCAGTCAGTAAAATATTATGACATTAAGGCAAGATGTCAATGGTATATTATTAAGAGTTATCAGAATTGAGTCTTTTAGTGAATACTGAGCAAAATTTCTAGATACAGATATGTTGCACAGATTTTGCAACTGTGTAAAAACATAGTTCCCAGCTCAATAGACTTTTGCAAAGTAATGGATTAATAAAAAATATAAAGATGACTAAGAACTAGATTAGAAAAAGGCTTCTGGGAGGCAGAGGCACTATCTAATATTTACAAACTAACCAGAGAGGCTAACAAAAAAGAAAAGGAAATGTGTTCCTTGAGCAAATGGAATAGTATAAACTGAAAAAAGAAGCAAGAAATTTTTTCTAGATGTATGTGGACACAAGAAAGTGAATAATGTGCAGGATGTAGTAGGAGATAAGTCTGGAAGAATTACACAGGGAATATGCTTAAATTTTTAGTTTGGTGCTTAGAACATAGAACATGGCAGGTGACAAAAATGGATTATATGTAATAGTGTCTTTTAAGATTCTGGAACATTTTAATAACAAATTTTTTTTTTCAATCTAAAATAGATTGTTAACAGAAAAGATCATCATTTTATGTGAATGACTCAAATACTTAATGTTACAGGACAGGTGTACTAGCACCTCTTGGATAATTTTTTATTTGCTGGCAGAATGTCAACTTCCAACAGTAGTGATGACAGTCTCCCAGCCACTCTCTTCTTGACGGGAATCCCAGGGCTGGAGTGGGCCCACATCTGGATTGCCATCCCCTTTTGTGCCATGTATTTGGTAGCACTGGCTGGGAATGCTGCCCTCATCTTGATTATTGCCATGGACAACGTACTTCATGCACCCATGTACCTTTTCCTTTGCCTTCTCTCACTCTCTGACCTGGCTCTCAGCTCCACCACTGTGCCCAAAATGCTGGCTATTTTGTGGCTCCAGGCTGGTGAGATTTCCTTTGGTGGTTGCTTGGCCCAGATGTTTTGTGTCCATTCTATCTATGCTTTGGAGTCTTCAATCCTTCTTGCCATGGCCTTTGATAGATATGTGGCCATCTGCAACCCACTGAGATACACAGTCATCCTCAACCATACAGTCATAGCCAAAATTGGCCTTGTTGGGATATTCCGTAGTGTGGCCATTGTTTCCCCCTTCATCTTTTTATTGAGGCGATTGCCCTACTGTCAGCACCATATCATGGAGCACACATACTGTGAGCACATGGGCATTGCTCGATTGGCCTGTGCCAACATCACTGTCAATATCATCTATGGACTGACTGTGGCTCTGCTGGCCATGGGTCTGGATTCTATTCTCATTACTGTCTCCTATGGTTTTATCCTTCATGCTGTTTTTCGTCTTCCCTCCCGCGATGCCCAGCACAAGGCTTTGAGTACCTGTGGATCCCACCTTGGGGTCATCTTGGTCTTCTACATTCCCGCCTTCTTCTCCTTCCTCACCCACCGTTTTGGCCAACACCGAGTCCCCAAGCATGTGCACATCTTTCTGGCTAATCTCTATGTGCTAGTGCCTCCTGTGCTCAACCCGGTTATCTATGGGGCTCGGACCAAGGAAATTCGGAGTCGACTTCTAAGATTACTTCACTTAAAGATTTCAATGTGAATTCTGAGCAGAGGTTGGAAGTGAGATGATTAAATTTGTATAATAGCTGTTTAGATGCATTTACATGGGTGGAGACCTATGATATGTGATATTAGAGGGATGTGTTTACATGGGAGAAAACTCTGGAAAGAAAAGAAAAGGCCAAATGAATTGGAGACATCAATAATTACACATTAAAATATGTTTTTTTCCTGAGGTTCCTTAAGCAACTCTGAATAGCCAGAAAGGTGATAATATTTTTAATGTTGTCTCAGAAGTACCTACCATTTATTAAAGAGTAAGTCAGTTATTGTTCTGAAAGGATTCTGGGTTTCATGGTGGGGATATTCTACTGTGAGTTCAAGAAGAAAAAAAAAAGAACATTTGAAATAAATTGGATCTGAGTTGCAATTTTGAGTGATTAAGTACACAAGGTCTCAAGTCAGAGAGTACCTGGATTTGAATCTTGGTTCCCTTACTTCTGAGTTTTGTGGCCTTGAACATCTTATTCAATCTTTCTATGCCTCAGTTTGACAAACTGTTAAATGGAGGATGATGACAATATCTAACTGTTAATGTTGCAGTGAGGAATAAATTGATGAATGTAAAAAACTTAAGACAGTGCCTAACATGTTACACATTCAATACAATAAGATGAGAAAGTTATGCAGCCTCTCTCAATATTATTAATGAAGTTATAATTTATTTAAGCCTGTTTTATGTTATATCATTTCACAAGGTTATTGTGATAACCACATAGCAACTCAAAAATATTTATACAGTGCTTATATTATGAATAGCGCTCATGAAAACTGCATTTTTTCCACCTCCCTGGTCTTCCATTTTGAGATCTCTTTTTTCTTAGCCAGAGAGTAATTTCTTAAGGATTCAGGAAAGATGCCGCAGAATCCAAGTGCCTTTCTAAATAATTGTTTACTACCTTAATAACTTCAGTTCTAAAATACACAAATAAGTCCACAGATACTCCTCCCAGTGACTCAAAAATGTGGTTGTCATCTGCATTTTAAATTAAGAGCTTGTAATTCAGAGAAGCTAATAGTCCTAAGTTTATTCTTTTATATGGACAATATCTTATATGTTATCAAGTGTTTTATAGTGGAAAGAAATGTAATATGTGGATCCAGGTATACTTAGGCTAAAATCTTGACATCATTATCTACTATGAGCTGCATAAACTAGTCCATATTACTTACTCAGTCCCAGCCTTAGTACCTGACATAAATCAAACACCCCATAAAAGTTGGTGGTAGTTGATAGTATTTGGTTAAAAAATATTTAAATGTATAAAAGTAGCTATGGTTTTATAATATTTGTATGATCTAAAATAATCTATATTGTTTATCTATTTACTTCTTGATTGATTCATTCATTTAAGATTGTAAAACTTCATCAAAATAAGCATCTTATCGATTTCTTACATAATGTTAATATTCTCTCAATAAATAATATGGAAAAATATTATGGACCATGCTGGATTATATCCTATTTTTTTTGTTGTATTAATGAATGATGTTTTCACTGTGATATTGTGATGAGTAATGACAATGTATGTTAAACATAGTGTCTGACACACAGTAGATGTTCAAACAATTATATTTTATTTTATACTTCACTAGGCTGATCAGATGAATGCACATTCACAAGGATCAGAATAGAGGGAACAGTTTTTTACTTAGGATTGCAATTTGGTGAGACAAAAGGAAAAATGTCAGTTCTGGCCATAGAAACGTCCAAGTCTAGCTGTAGAGGCAAGTTGACTCTCTGGAAACTGTCATGGGCCAGGACCACTCATGTCTGTGCCCTCAGAGGAACTCAGAGGAGAAAACGCAAAGGGGTAGAACAGGAGCTGGAAGAGAAGGGGGGACAGGACGACTGTGCAGGAACAGGCAACAGAGAGCATTGCTCGAAGAGCTCAAGGAAGCTGGTTGAGATCAGATTCCTAGAGCCCTGCAAGGCCAGACCAAGATCAGAAGAAATATGCAGCCCTTACAAGTTTTATGAATTTACTGAAGCAGTGATGAGTCAATATCAATCAGTTTTTAACAGCTTTATTTGAGGTAAAATTGATATACAAACACTGTACATGTATAGTGTATACCTGATGTGTTTGGACAAATGCATACTCCCATGATGCTATCACCACAATGTGTTAAACTGTCACCTCTCAAAGTCTCCTTGTGTCTGTGTCTGTGTGTGTGTTAAGAACCTTCAATCAGTGTGAACTCAAGCCTGAAGTAAAGTGAGGATAGTGGTTAATATGAAAAAGCAATGTTTTCCCACATGACATTTTCCTGATCACCACAGCCCAGTGTTCAGTATCATCCATTCTTAAGAACACACAAAAAGGGAATTTGACTTCTGAGGGAAGATAGAAGTCACCAATCATCAAGGATGTGCAAATTATTCAGCCTGCTCTGTGAGCATTGCCCTGCTAAAGACTTAAGCAATCTTTCTGATAGACCACTTTGCAAGTAATACACTTGCAGAGGAATCAATGAAATTACCAAATTGCAGGGAAGAGTCTACAATAAGCCTAACCATGGAATCCTGCTATATTGAATATTCTTGTTTCTTTTAGTCCTGAGCCTAACTCTTTGTGCTGAGGGAGATACTTTGAACTAGACTTTGAGTGATTCAGCTCTGGTAAAATCCTGAGCAGCCACCCTGCGGAGTTATCCTCAATGTCATAGCCCATCCCAGGACTAGAATTCACCACACCACTTTCAGATCAGTCCATACGTCTCTCTCACAAAACACGCGCATGCACATGCGCACGCGCACGCGCGCACACACACACAAATATTCAGTTTCTTGTAAAGTACAATTAGAAAAGAAAAATCCTTTTCTCTGAGCCCTCAGGAAATCTGCCCTATCACCTCCTCCTGCCTCCTATTTAACTGCTGCATTATTTTATTTTGATTTTATTTGTGCTTATTATAAGTAGGCATAGGCAATTTCTTCACTGTGATTTGGATTATTCCCTAAACTTTTCCCTTCTAAATAAGGGAAGCCTAAGTTGTATCTTCCTCTATGCCAGAGCCACATGGGACACATTTTCTGCTCATTGACTTCATGAAAACAAATTGACCCTGGCTGGGGGGCAGTGTAAGGCTAAGAGGATAAACTCTGGAATCAAAGAGCTTGGATTTACTTATCTCTGTCAATCACCAGCTGTGTGGCCTTAGGAAAATTGCAAACTAAATAAGGCACATGCCCCATCTGCCATGAACCATCTCACTGATAAAACAGAGTTGTACAGAAAATAATGGGTAGTTTGGAAAAATATTGATGCCTTTCACTAAGACTTTGGGACTACAGAATTTAAAGTAGGAATGGGAATTAGGGAAAACATGTTGAACTGTATTTGGACATGCTGAGCCACAGGCTCCTCTGGGACACCCAAAGGGTAGACTGTGGGAAGTACAAAGAAATTCAGTTTTGGGAACCACATTATTAGAAATATGAGCAAAAACCAAGGAAATGGCCAAACATTTTGAAGGATGAATAAAGGAACTGGTGTAACATACTCCCATGAAGCACCACGGTATAAGACAATGGGTAAAAAATAGATTAAATGAAACAGCTTGAAGAAAGAAAGGCCAATATATGAAATTCCATAGAAAAATATGGGAAGACCAAGAATGAGAAAGAGTTTCAAGAAAGTCTCTGCCCCATACTGGGGATAAGTCAGAGACTGCAGAGAGTGGTAAAAAATGATCTCTGGAAGGGCAGACACTTTCAAGAAATTCAGAGATAAAAGGAGAGATAAAGTTCAGTAACCAATAAGGCACCAGAGTCAAGCATTTTCCAGCATAAAGGGAGGGAGTCTGCTTAGGAAGAGGATGGAGCTTCTGAAGTAGTGGGGGTGGATCTCATGAGAGCAGGATCCTGGCCCAGGAAGAAGATATCAAAGGAAGAGCCCTAGCTGAGGGGGAAGTTAAACATCTTTTCTGCAATACAAAGAGACTGGACCTGAAGATAGAAAAACATGGTCAAAGAGTGGGGGGCTCCCAGAGTCCATAAAGAAAGCCATTGCTTTCTGGGGTAGCGAATCCCAGGATGCCTTCAGAGTCACTCGAGTAGGATTAGAGGTGGCTTATGGTGATAATGGTAATGTTGGTGAGGAACTGGGCTGCTAACTGGGCAGAAGAAAAAATATTGAAAAACATTATTATTTCCCCCCTTCATGTCTAAATTTGGAAAATACTGAGATTATGGGTATGAGAAGGTGAAACACAAACCCAAGACCATTTAACATGATGCTTTCCTCCTCCAAATGACATTCTCTTTGACCACCTACCCCCAGATAGACATCACCATGAGATGCAAGCAATCTTTTTTAATCTAGAACAGGCTTGGGCTATTCCACTGTGCACATGATCTGAATAGGAGGAACTCCCAAAATAAGCTACTTCTCCTCCATTCCTCTTTCCCTTTCTTTTCCTCCCTCTCCATGAGGTGATGCATTGTGAGCATCAGCTGGGGGGACCTAGACCTCTGGTTTCCTCAGCAGCTTCTCAATGGCAGCATGGACATCTCCACTTGTAGCCATCAGGGCCTGCAAGTTGGCATCACGATTAGCAAAACCCATGGCTTTCAGATGCTCCAGTCCTTGCTGGTACCTGCTTTCAGTGAGGAGGGATGAGGGTAGTGAGGATTGGGTAGACTGGGAGCAGACATTGGCCAGTGCATGGAGAAGCTGAAGAACTGCCACAGTGGGTTGCACAGAGTCTGGTCTGTGACCCCGTCCTGCATCCTTAGTTTCAGGGGCTCCTGTAGCCCCATGCGGTTTACCTGGGCCCCATAAAAATGGTCCCAGATCAGGTACCTCCCTGGACAGTACTTGCAGGCCCTTTTCTATCTGTACTAATGCCTGCAGTGCTTGTGGGTTGGTGAGGATGGGAAGTAGTGGTATATGATGTCGCAGGGGGCTGTCAGTGGCCAGCTGGTGTAGCAGAGCTGGATTTTGCTGAAGGACATGCAAGGCTCTACACAAGGCAGAGGG